GAACACACGACAAATGACTAATTCACAAGAAAGATTCTTTCAAATATATTGCTCAATTCAAAGAGAAGATTTGGAGTTGATTACATCAACTATGAACACACGACAAATGAATAATTCTCCACAAGATTCTTTCAAATATTTTGCTCAATTCAAAGGAAAAATTTAGTGTTGATTACATCAACTATCAACACATGACAGATGAATAATTTTTTTATGGACTCTTTCAAATATTTTGCTGAATTGAAAAGAAAGATTTGGAATTGATTACATGAATTATGAACACAGGAGAAATGAATAATTCTGAGCAAACATTCTTTCAAATATTTTGTTGAATTCAAAGCAAAGATTTGGAGTTCATTACATGAACTATGAACAGACGACAAATAGATAATTCTTTAAAAGATTCTTTCAAATATTTTGCTGAATTGAAAGAAAAGATTTGTAGTTGATTACATCAACTATCAACACACGACAAATGAATAATTTTTTTATGGACTCTTTCAAATATTTTGCTGAATTGAAAAGAAAGATTTGGAATGGATTACATGAACTATGAACACAGGAGAAATGAATAATTCTGAGCAAACATTCTTTCAAATATTTTGCTCAATTCAAAGCAAAGATTTGGAGTTGATTGCATCAACTAGGAGCACACGACAAATGACTAATTTACATTAAAGATTCTAGCAAATATTTTGCTCAATTCAAAGGAAAGATTTGGAGTTGATTACATCAACTATGAACAGACGACAAATGAATAATTCTCCACAAGATTCTTCCAAATATTTTGCTCAATTGAAAGAAAAGATTTGTAGTTGATTACATCAACTATCAACACACGACAAGTGAATAATTTTTTTATGGACTCTTTGAAATATTTTGCTGAATTGAAAAGAAACATTTCGAGTTGATTACATCAACTATGAACACACGAAAAATGAATAATTCTCCAAAAGATTCTTTCAAATATTTTTCTCAATTCAAAGCAGAGATTTGGAGTTGATTACATGAACTATGAACACAGGAGAAATGAAGAAGTCTTCCAAAGATGCTTTCAAATATTTTGCTCAATTCAAAGGAAAGATTTGGAGTTGATTGCATCAACTAGGAGCACACGACAAATGACTAATTTACATTAAAGATTCTTTTAAATATTTTGCTCAATTCAAAGGAAAGGTTTGGAGTTGATTACAGCAAGTGTGAACACGGGACAAATGAATAATTGTTAGAAAAGATTCTTTCAAATATTTTGCTGAATTCAAAGGAAAAATTTGGAGTTGATTACATGAAGTATGAACGCACGACAAATGAATAATTGTGCAAATGATTCTTTCAAATATTTTGCTCAATTGAAAGAAAAGATTGGGAGTTGATTACATGAAATGTGAACGCACGAGCAATGAAGAATTTTTCAAGGGATTCTTTAAAATATTTTGGTGAATTGAAAGGAAAGATTTTGAGTTGATTGCATCAAGTATGAACACACGACAAATGAATAATTCTCCACAAGATTCTTTGAAATATTCTGCTGAATTGAAAGATAACATTTGGAGTTGATTACATCAACTATGAACAGACGAGAAATGAATAATTCTTCCAAAGATTCTTTGTAATATTTTGCTTAATTGAAAGCAAAGATTTGCAGTTGGTTACATGAACTACGAAGGCACGAGAAATGAATAATTCTTAGTAAAGATTCTTTGAAATGTTTTGCTGAATTCAAAGTAAAGATTCTGAGTTGATTACATCATCTACGTACACACAATAAATGAATAATTCTCGTCAAGATTCTTTCAAATATTTTGCTGAATTGAAAGGAAAGTTTTGGAGTTGATTACATTATCTACGTACACACAATAAATGAATAATTCTCGCCAAGATTCTTTCAAATATTTTGCTGAATTGAAAGGAAAGTTTTGGAGTTGATTACATGATCGAGGAAGAGACGTCAAATTAATTTCGTGCTCGTTTGTGAAGTAGCTCGCGGAGAAGATCACGAATAATCATATCATCAATTGGGGCTGCGTGTATCATGCAACTTGTCATCACCATTGCTAAAATGGAGACTAAACAAGCCATTCGAATGGTCTTCTGCATTGTCATTTGTTGCTGTTCGATGCTGATGCGAGAATAGTAGATAAATATGAGCAAGTATGTAAATGGTATGCTCTTGCAGTAATGGTTCGGTTTTATAATCCGAATATTGAGAGAGAATAAGATGAATATCGACGCACGCGTGCTTTTATATCTAACTGGCAATGAGTAGAAATTCCCCACATATCGATGGGGATTCCCCACCTATTGATAAGAATGCACACACTTATCGATCCAAATTCTGCGCTTTTCGGTAGGGATTCCCCACCTATCGATAAGAATTCCCCATCTATCTATGAGAGTTCCCCACGTATTGATGGGAATTTTCGACCTGCTGATGGGAATTTTTGACCTGTTGATGGGAATTTTCGACCTATTGATGGGAATTTTCGATCTGTTGATGGGAATTTTCGATCTGTTGGTGGGAATTTTCCATCTACCTATTATGTTCTCCTTTTGTTAGAATATATTTAAGGACAAATGTGAGGTCGCTGAGGCCAAAAATAACTTTTATTTCAAAAAAGATGGTCTAACTAGCCAAGTGTATATCACATATATATATAAGCATCACCAGGTATAACAAGAAAAAAAGAAACGATAGAAAGAAAAAAAATGATAATATAGATGTCGGATATAACATCCTTCTCGGACAAGGAAAAAAGTTTTTGTTTACAAAACACTTTTCTTTTATTTTTTTAAATAATAACATAACTGTAAATGCATCAAATGAAAAAGAAAAAGAAAAAAAGAGTAGAAACAAATGTTCGTATAATATCATGAAGGAAATATAAAAAATAAAGAAAAAAAATACACTCTAGAGAAAAAAATCTGACAATAATAAAAAAATACAACAATAGAAAGAGAAAAAAAATATATGTTTACTATCGTTGTTTACTCTTGTATATCATGTGATCTTCTTGATAAATATTGAGCTTGACGACGAAATAAGTAATAATGAAGTCGATCAAATATATCACCGAGTAATCTTCGTTCATTTTGTTGTTCAATTATTTTGTCTTTTACACCAATAAGTAATAAATAATCAACTGGTTTGACATGAATATAATAAATTTTGTATTCAGCAAGAATATGACGAACTAATTTCAATGTAAATCTGTAGTAGAATGGACGAGTGATAAAATATCTATAACGTTGCATTCGCAAATAAAGATTTCTTTTTCGATTTCGTCGTTTTCGAGTTTCAGCTGATAGTGTTCGACTATGTAATTGACGTTTCTTGGTTAAAGATTGTTGTTCTTGTTCATAATCACTGACATCATCAACCATATTATGGTTGCTGACACATAAATCATTATCATTTGGTGGTAATGCAGAATTTGGTTCATTATCATCGTCTGATATTGAATCATATAATGATTCATTATTATTTAGTGATAATGCTTTATTTAATTCATTATCATCATTTGAAATTTCTTCATATAACACATCATTATTAATAGTAATTTTAATACATTGATTAACTGTTATTTCATCATCATCATCTTGATCATCATCGGAGATTAATTCAATATCATCATCATCATCTTGATCATCATCGGAGATTAATTCAATATCATCATCATCATCTTGATCATCATCGGAGATTAATTCAATATCATCATTAATATTCTTAATTATTTGTTGATTAATATTTGTATTTGTTGGGTTGTTATTCGCTCGTGATGATGATGGTAATGCCTGAAATGAATCAAGAATATTAATTTTTTTTACTTGTTGAAATGTCCAACATAATGTAACAGGTCGAATTAAACATGTTGCTGCAAAACAATCATATATTGCGTTATGTATCATTTTATTTCTTTTTGATGTTGATAAAGTTGAGTACATTGGATATAATTCCATTGCCCATTCATTAACAGTAATTGACTTATCAATAAACATTCCATATGTATAAATTAAAGCTTGTTGTAATGCTCATGGTTCATTAGGACGATAAGGACTTGATTTATGACAAGTATATTTTGATAATAAATTCATTTGTCCATCAGAGTTAATATCATTAATAATAATATTACGACGATTTGACAGGCTACACATCTCGCAATGAGATAGTGCCCAACTATACCAATCAGCAAATTTAAGTTGAAGATTAACCACTGTTGTTTTAATTGGCCATTCAAACCATTGATAAACAATAACTGGATAAATTTCCTTACGTAATGGTTCTCAAGAATATATGTTATTTCCAAATTTAAAAATTAATTCAAATAATTATTTAATTTATAAATGAATTAATGAATTAATTGGTGGTAGATGTGCAAGTTCTACTAATATAATAAAAAATGGTAATTATTGCGGTATTGTTTGAATTTGAATTAATGCTAATTGTTTGGTTGATTTTTCACCTTCACTATCAAATGTAAGTTCATTACAATTTCGTACATGATCAATTCATTTTTGCAATGTTTCAGTTGTTGTATGTTTGTTTACATATATAATTTGATAAAGTGATGTTGGTATATCAAATGCTGGATATTATTGTTGATATTGATAATTTTTCTTCACCTTTTTTTGCAGCACTTATCCAATTCGCTTTTTGTTGATCATCAAGATGAGCTGGAGGATCGTTAATATCACGTAAATGATATGGAATAAATTTGTCTGACATTGTAATGACTAAATAAAACAAAATTAAACAAGTTAATATAAATTAATTAAATAAAAACAATAACATAAGTAACATAAACAAATAAATCATATAATTTATCATTCGTTCTGAAGAATAAACCTATCAAAAATTGCATATAAATAGATATCATTAATATATGAAGATAAATATTAATAAAATACATAAGGTTAAAAGGAAATAACAGCGTTTGCTATAAACAGAAACACTTCTAAAATGGAAGGTTTTTTGTGTATAATTTGTTGGTATTTGTAATAATCAATATTTGTTAATGTTACCATATACAAATGACAATATATTGATAATTAATGCGCGCTAATTAAAATATTAATATTTCCACATGCGTAACAAATCGATGTTAGTTCAACTTAGTTGTTGCGCATACAACAAAGATGATCAAGCATTGAATCACCATCAACATAACATAACATTAACACTTAATGATCATTAGCAAATAACTAAACAATAATATATCATGTTGATTTTAAAATAAGAATAGATCGAATATCATTAACATGTACTCTGGATTCGACCTGTGTTTTTTCATCTTTGACCCAATCAATTGGATGTTGTTTCCTAAGAATTATTTTTGGTGTAATCGAATATTTTTGTTCTAATTTTTTCTTTATTCCATGAATTTTAATCAGTACTGGATCATTGATTTCATAATGGGGATCTGGATGTTGTTTATCATAATTAATCTTGTATTGTCGTTATCGACGAATAATATTATCACGTGCGTGTTGTTGTATTATCAACAGATTTTTTTTCAATTGTACATAATAATCATTTGGTTTATTGAAAGTAAATGATGATGAAGGTTCATCAGTAGGTAAACGTGGTTCTCGGCCAAACTGTAGTTGAAATGGTGAATAATTAGCCGTTGCATGGATGCGGATGTTGCAAGCAAATACCACTGGTGATAAGAATTCATCATAATTGTTATTTCCTAGATCTTGAAGTTTGACAATTTGAGGAACGAATATCGCTTTAAAACGTTCAATCATTTCATTACTTCGTGGGTGATAAACACTTGAAAAAATGTGATTGTAACCAATTAATTTTGCTATGGATTCCA